AAGAGCTTATCTGCGCCTTATAGTCAGCTCATTCTTTTCTGAAATGACACCGTTTGACAGCAGCAGGTGTACTATCCAGAGGACTCTAACAGCGACCACCGCAGAGCAGGAAAGGAACCCGTTCCTCTTAGTGCCGCCTGACTCCAGAGAGGAAAACAGGGACCCCTTCCTCGCCTGGTCACAAGCAGGGGCCCCGGTGGGCTCAGGCCCGAAAAGTGCACCTTCCCTGGGATCCACAGCTGCCGCCTGCCGGTCCTACCGGGAGAAGAGACCGCCACTCACCTGCGAATGGAGAGAGCGCAATTCCTCACCTGGCGACCGCCCTACACCCGTCTACTTCGAACTGCAAAGCGCGATGGCTGCCGATGTCCCAGCTCCCGTCAGCTCCTTCCGGGCCGGGAGGCGGGGTGGGGGGTGGAGGGGTGCTTCCCTCCTGGCGGTCCGCAGGGCCACAGTTCCACAAGCCCAAAGTTCCGCCTCCCCGCGGTTCCGCCGCCAAACTCCAGGCTGAGCGCGCTTGCGGGCTGCAGCCAGCCTTCCAGCAACCTGGTCTTCCCACATCCGCGGGAAAGGGCTTCAGGGACCCTAGGGCCTAGGCAGAGAAGGAAACGCGAGTCTGTAGCTTGGGAAAATTATCTATGACATCCGTTTTTAAAAATGCACTTTATTTTTTTTTTAAAGATTTTATTTGAGAGAGAGAGAGAGCACATGGGAGGGCCAGAGGGAGAAGCAGACTCCCCGCAGAGCAGGGAGCCCAATGCGGGACTCCATACCGGGACTCCGCAAGATCATGACCTGAGCCGAAGGCAGTCACTTAACCAACTGAGCCACCTAGGCGCCCTAAAAATGCATTTATTTTATTTTATTAAAGATTTTATTTATTTGACAGAGACACAGCGAGAGAGGGAACACAAACAGGGGGAGTGGGAGAGGGAGAAGCAGGCTCCCAGCTGAGCAGGGAGCCCAAAGCGGGGCTCGATCCCAGGACCCTGGAATCATGACCTGAGCAGAAGGCAGACGCTTAACGACTGAGCCACCCAGGCGCCCCTAAAAATGCATTTAAAAAAATACATCTTCAAACTATACCTGTTTCTTGAATTCATAAGTAATTTACAAAACGTAATTATGTGCCAGATAATGGGTTGGATGCTAGGTTTTGAGCTTTATTTTTTATTTATTTATTTGACAGAGAGACAGCAAGAGAGGGAACACAAGCAGGGGAGTGGGAGAGGGAGAAGCAGGCTTCCTGCTAAGCAGAGAGCCTGATGTGGGGCTCTATCCCAGGACTCTGGGATCATGACCTGGGCCAAAGGCAGACATTTAACCAACTGAGCCACCCAGGCACTCCCCTTAAATGTGTTTAAATAAGAATATTTGGGTGCCTTGAATGGAAGTGTGATGCTCTCAAGCTTGCTCTCAAGCCAGGTTGCTAGGTCACAGGGACAGAAAGAGGAGCTGTTTGGGGGTTAAAGAATGGATTATTTAATAGAAGAAAAACCTGTAACTTGCTCTGCTGGATCTCCCTCTTTCTGCTGCAGCCTCAGAAAATGCCTTAGCCCATGTGTCTTCCCTTCATATTTGCCATTTCTTCTGCCAGAACAAATTTTCTAAACCTCTCCTCTCCACCTCCCTATGTCATATACACTCTTCAGGTCTCAGCACAGATAGCCCTCTTTCATCAAAACCTCTCTCCCAGGTGTGCCTGGGCGGCTCAGTCCTTTAAGCTTCCCACTCTTGATTTCAGCTCAGGTCAAAATCTCAGGGTTTTGAGGGTGCCTGGGTGGCTCAGTCGTTGGGTGTCTGCCTTCGGCTCCGGCCGTGGTCCCACGGTCCTGGGATCGAGCCTGGCATCGGGCTCCCTGCTCCGCGGGAAGCCTGCTTCTCCCTCTCCCACTCCCCCTGCTTGTGTTCCCTCTCTCACTGTGTCTCTCTGTTAAATAAATAAAATCTTAAAAAAAACACGAAACTCAGGGTTTTGAGATCTAGCCCCACATAGAGTTCCATGCTTAGTGGGGAGTCTGCTTGAGATTCTCTCCCTCCCCCTCTACCCCCCTTCACCCCTCCCTCTCTCTCAAATAAATAAATAAATAAAATCTTTAAAAAAACAAAACATAAACAAAACTCCCTCCCAAACTTGGGTTTCCCCAGCAACTGTACAATTAGCCTATTATGATTCAAGTTACCTTATAATTGTCCAAGTAAATATGTGATTATTTGTGTAGAGTCTCCCCCAGTAGACATTCTGTAAGCCTCCTGAGGTCAGGAACCATATCTGTCTTTTCTTCTCTTGAACCTATTTTCAGTGCTTGGCATATAATAGGTGCTCAATACATATGAGCAAGTGATCCATTCATAAATGAAGAACTCCTACGTATTTTTAAAAATATTTTATGTATTTATTTGTCAGAGAGAGCACAAGCAGGGGGAGCGGCAGGCAGAGGGAGAAGGAGGCTCTCTGCTGAGCAAGGAGCCTAATGTGGGACTCGATCCCAGGACTCTGGGATCATGACCTGAGGCAAAGGCTGATGCTTAGCCGACTGAGCCACCCAGGTGCCCCTCCTATGTACTTTTTAAAAGATTTTATTATTTGACAGAGAGAGAGCGAGACAGCACAAGCAGGGAGCCTGATGTGGGGCCCAATCCCGGATTATGACCTGAACGGAAGGCAGACACTTAACCAACTGAGCTACCCAGGCACCCCTCCTAGATACAGTTTTGTCCTGAAGGGATTGAAGAATTTCACTAGAGTCCATTGATCTGAGTTAGAGGAACTTGTTTTTCCAGTCTGGGTTCCCCTCTACTCTCTTTCCCACTTACCTACTCTTGAATCCAGTTTGGTTTCTTAAAATTAATAAAAGGAAATCTCATTTAAAATGGAGTCAGGAGGGGTGCCTGGCTGGCTCAGTTCGTGGAGGATGGGACTCTTGTTCTTGGGATCATGAGTTGTAGCCCAATGTTGGGTATAGAATTTACTTAAATACATATATATATATATATAGTAAAATGGAGTCAGGAGCCAGAAGTGGGAGCTCTTATACCCTACCACTCTTCCTTCATTGCAGATCCCAACAGGAATAGACTTACCTTGCATTCCCCATAGGAAAAAGACTATTTTACTACCATAGCAGGAGGAAAGAATTTCTTCATCCAGCAGCAGCCCAGCCAATGAGAGACTGTCACAACTCAGCCAGTGAAAAGCCACTACACTTAGAACTCCCAGTTTATTCCAATGGGTGTTTTGTTTATAACAAAGGCCTCTCAACTTAGGCATTCCTCTATAAAGAGTGGTCCTCACCTTTGTTCTCTAGACTTGCAGAGCCCTAGCTTGTGTGTCTGGAAATGCAATTCTCTGCTATTTCAGAATAGACCTTTTTTTTTCCTAGCAAAATAACGGTTTTATTTTTAAGGTTAACAGGTTTAAAAAAAATTTTTTTTTTTTTAAGTTGTAGAGAGACAAAGGGAGCATGCAAGCGGGGAGGGGCAAAGGGAGAAGGAGAGGGAGAATTCCAAGCAGGTGCCATGCTCCAGTGCGCAGCCCAACATGGGGCTTGATCCCATGACCCTGAAATCAAGAGTCTGATGCTCAACCCACTGAACCACCCAGGAACCCCTGAGGTTAACAGGTTTAACCATCGCTTTTAAGTAGTCAAAGGACTACTTCGCTGGACTCCTCAAAATTATAGCTCTTATCCTGGATAGCCTTTTTTTTCCTGATATTGCTGGCATTTTAGTCAGCCTTAAAAAATCTAAACTCCTGGCTTCAGCAACAAATTGTAAAATGGCTAGGAATGGAGGGTTGTGACAATAAGCAAGACATAGCGTCTTTACTCAAGGACCTTTCAGTTGGTCAGGGAAATGTGTTAAGTCACACCTAACTCTCAAAGAAGGTAGGGGAAGAGAGGATAATAATGTACAAAATGATGGTGGTGGTGGTGAGGGAGCGAAGAGGCCGGTGATGCCAGTGTTTGAGGAGAGTCTTAAAGGCTACATAGCATATTTCCCCCCATTTTTTTTGGTGATTGTTGTTATAAAAGTAATACATATTAACTGTAAAAAGTTTGGGAAATCCAGAAAAATACCTCATGCAAACAAAAATCACCCCCAGTCTCACCTTACAGATAAACCACTTTTATTAGATTATAATCATACTATACATGGTTTTATAAAACATTTAAAATTCAAAACATTTGTTATAGATGCTTTACCATGTAATTAAGTATTCTAAATTCTGAATTTTAATGGGTGCATTTTTACTAAAATATGATAGATAAGAGGACAACCTCTAGCCACAGACTATGCTTTTTTTTTTTTTTAAGATTTTATTTATTTAACAGAGAGAGACACAGCGAGAGAGGGAATATAAGCAGGGGGAGTGGGAGAGGGAGAAGCAGGCTTCTCGGCAGAGCAGGCAGCCCGATGCGGGGCTCGATCCCAGGACCCTGGGATCATGACCTGAGCTGAAGGCAGACGCTTAACGACTGAGCCACACAGGTGCCCCCACAGGCTATGCTTCTAATATCACTAGCCACTTAGAGTTCCTGTGTAGGTAAAATGGGGATTAATATCCAGTAGGGATGGTATAAGAGAGAATAATACACACAAAGGGAGAGAGATGGGAAAAGCACCATACAAGTATTATGATTTGACTGGGTAGGTTTGGGCTGGACTGCTGGGGACCTTGGCTCCTAAACTATAGAGCCTCTTGAAGGTTTCAAGTAGAGCCAGAATATGTTCAGTGTAGTTTTTGAAAGTTTGCTTTGGCCACAGTGTGTGGGTTGTATTGGAACAGCTTGACTGAAAATCAAGATCAGAAATGAAGCTGCTCCTGTCATGTAGGTGAATGGTAACATAGGCCTGGGTTGGGAACAGGGAAATACGGAGTTGTGTGTGAGAAACTATAAACATTGGAACCTATAAGATGTCATGATTGATGGCATGTTAGTAGCAAAAATAAAGGAGATATCAAAGTCCAGAATTTTAACTTGGATTACTTTTATTTCCACTATAACAACCTCACTGCAGATTACTGGCATCGCTGGCCTGGTTTACTGCAACAACTCCGTTCTTCTCCCTGCAATCAATTATCATCACAGCTGTTGGATTTTTTTTTTTTTTAAGTAAGCTTTAGGCCCAACATGGGGCTCAAAGTCACCACCCCAAGATCAAGAGTTGCATGCTCCACCCACTGAGCCAGCCAGGCACCCCAGATTTTTTAATTTTCTTTAAAGATTTTATTTATTTATTTGAGAGAGTGAGTGAGAGAGAGAGCAAGAGCACACACAAGCTAGGGAAGAGGCAGAGGGAGGGAGAAGCAGACTCCCCACTGAGCAGGGAGCCCCTGGTATCATGACCTGAGTCGAAGGCAGACACTTAACCAACTGAGCCATCCAGGTGCCCCCCCTGGATTTTTTTTTAACATGCATTCATCTTAAAGCATGAATTGGATCAAATTACTCCCTTCTTTACAACTCTTCAACTGCTTCCCAAGGCCTAACTCCTTACAACGCCTTACAAGACTTATTGCTCTGGCCCCCTCTACTTCTTCAATCTTATCTCTTGCCATTCTGCCTTGCTCACTATAGCAAGCTCATTCCTGCCTCTGCATTTTGTAGGTGCTGTTCCCTTTGGCTAGAGCCCTTCTTCTTCCCATTTTCTCTCTCTGTATAGCAGCTTTCTCATCCTTTGGATCACAACTTAAATGTCACCTCTTGTCCTGACCATCCTAACCAAATCAGGCTCTATTCTCTGTCTCAGTACCAATACTTCAATAGCACTGACCAAATTTTAAACTTAAAAATATATATTTATATACATTTTTCTTTTGTTTCCTCCACTGTAAAATTCACAGTAGGAAGATACCTTGTCTGTCCTGTTCTGTTTTTGCTGGTGCTTAGCAAGTACCTGGCATAAGGAAGGCACTTGATATTTGTTGAATAAATTAATTAATCAACAAATGAAGGAACTGGTGAGGTCATTCAGCAGAAAATATGATGAAAAGATGGGTTTTAGAGTAGAAGGTGCATCTCTGATACTGTGATGCTAGGGTGTTTGTAGAGGGTGTAGGGACAGAGGGAGGTATTTGGGGTTAGAAAAGGAAAATGAATTGGCATTTGATTTTGTACTTTCAGGCAGATGGGGCCTGACAAATTACACTATTAGGTCTATATCAGATGGGATACAATGTAGCATAATAGTTAAGAACCTAAAAGAATTA